ACAGTTAATTTCTATAATATTTACTTGAGGTCTAGGGTTTTACTATTTAATTGCAGTTTACAGTCGAAATAAGGCAATTTCAAAATGAAAGATTATGCTGCATTTGGAACTTCCTTGTTCTTTGTCCTCCAGACAACTTATCAAATTAAGGGACCATATAATTACCTACGTTATCGTTGGTTGTTGAAGCTGTCAATGTGTACATATAAAACGTTATTGTGATGTCATCTCGTCCTTACTAGCCTGGCTGCGAAGATAGGCGAGATGGAGATGAAAAGCTTGTCCGAGATGCTAAAAAAAAGTCTAAACGTCTTGTCAGATATGGAGTCCGAATTCAGAATTGATCAGTGATTTCTGTTATTCCTTTTTTTTATTATAAAAGTAAGGGCACCAAGATGTTTTGAGTAAATCCTGATTAATAATTCTACAGATTATCAGTATGATATCATTCTATAATTTTATCTGTTCTCTATGCCAAAGGTCTATGCATTATCATTTTTAATATACAGAAATGGAACATTAGATTTCTTTATTTTTTTATTTTTTATTTCATCTGTGTTTTATATGCACATTATTTATATAAGTATAGTATGTGGATTGTACAAAGGCCATATAATTTTAGTTCTTTATTCGTGCAAGTTTGCTAATGTTGTAATTTATGATTCTTCTGAACAGAAACCAGTCTCTTAAAGACCCTGGAGGCTCATCCAGATATGCGCTGAGTTCAAGAGAAGGGTGCAAATAGTCGACAGTTTCTTATTCTTGGTGAACAAGGGAGGATGTTTGCATTCCTGTTCCAGTTGGCACAGCATCAGATTAGTGATCGAGGACTAATAGGTATGCCAATACATACATTTAGAATGGTTATTGAGTTTTACAAGGTTGTATGTTTACTTTATAGATAATTACTAGACTCAGAGACTAGAAGGATGGTTAATATACAGATTGGGGAAGTTTACTTAGATTTAAATTTTGACAGTAAAACTGAATATTTGTTGAATATTTGTTTGTACAAGTCCCATCTCCATTAGGATTATACACATATCTTGTGGTATCTTATTTTATCTCGTATTGATACTTTAGTATTATATCAAATGATTTAGAATTCCTATTAATATTATTAATAAACCACGGTGTATGCAATCTGTCAGTATATGCTTTTTGATTTAGTGTAAATTTTATTGATTCTGAGAGATGCATTAAAAATTGATATTTGATAGCTTCGCCTTACTCAGTACAAAAACAGAGCTCATTAAAAAGATGAGGTATCAGTTTTGAAATATGCTGGATGTTATCTAAGAGGTCTTTATTCAAACTTATGATTATGGTTATCCTACAATGTTTAGTTAGAATAATAAAACTGGTGAATTTAAGAACGGTGTGGCACTAAAAGTATTAGATAATGCATTTCAAAGTGATTTATTTTTCATTATTGTCTTTTTCATATGTATTCTTTCAGGTGACTGAACTCAGGCAGGGGATAAAATATTTAGTTGCCAGAGGGGTGGGGTAGGTTGGTTCTTCCCAAATATCAATATAATGGACAGAAAGGACAGGTAAGTTTGTGAGAAATTTTAAATTGCTATTACCTACATATCAGATGAAACTGGTTTTTTGACTTTTACCTATACTATTTCTCTGTTTGCATTTGGCCTGTTGTTATCAATCATCAGTATTATCTTCTACATATAAAAAGTGCAGATTTGGTTATGGCAATTGTCGTGAGCATTTTTTGCCCGTTTGTCTCTGTGAACTCTTCCTCTTCGGTTCTGAGTCTTTTGTGACTACCTTTACTTCTAATTTAGAGTTTTTAATCCATTTTCTGTCCCCTCTCCTCTCCTTAGTTTATGTCTCATGGTTCTTATATCTGAGTATTTAAGAAATGAAGAGTATGTTGCTTAGTTTCTTTGACTATCCATTTTTGCAGATAATTGCTCAAAACACTATACTTTTGAATTTCTTAGTGTTTTCTATTAAGCTGGTAGCAGGTTTTCTATATGTCCACTTTGTTCAGGCAAGCATATAAACATTTTGTGTGCATCATGCGTGCGTGCGTGTGTGTCTGTCTGTCTGTGTAATTTTTCCCCTTTTTCCTTTTGGTTTTTTATGGTTTGTATATTTTGTTCATTGGAGATGAGTAGTAGATTGCGGTTCATTTTCTACTACTGTGCAGATGTCATGTTTTTTGGCTGAAAAATGCAGTGCAATTAGTAAAAAAAAACAAGATTCTTTAGATTGTATTTAATCTTTTTCCTTATTATGTAGGACCTTTTCATTTTGGTATCGAGAGTTTTTGCATGAGTCTCAGAAAAAAAAAAAAAATTTTCAGGTCTTTAGTACAAAAAAAAAAAAATGGTTTCAGTAAAAAAGTATTATCATATCTTTCCATATTAGAATAATGTCATCCTCCTTTGCAACTTAGTTTGGTCAAGGCTCATGTGGACAACTCATAGTCTTGAATACAGAACAAATATATTGTTATTGTTTTTTATTACTGCACACCATATATTCTGGAGTGCAGCTGATTGCTGACATTGGTCTTGTTGGGATTCCCCAATGCATGATCGACTATATTAAAAAGGCCATTTCAAATGCCAGGCCGAAAATTGCAAGTTATCCATTAGTTCATTTTTTAATTATTTTTATTGCTTCTCTTTTAATAATTCAAATAGCTTGCATTCATCTGTGGTATTATTGATATGAAGTGACAAAGTACATGCACAGAAGTCGTTTTCATTACTATATACAAATCTTTTTTTATATTACAGTTACACTTTGCAGCCAATATAGGCATTGGCATAATTTAAAAAATATGGTCGCCAGATTGCATTGCTGATTTACCTGGCCTTGTGTAAGGGATCCGTGGGCAAACGTGGGATGGGCAACAATTCCTGAATCAGTGGATCGAACAAAGCTGCCTACTCTTTATGGTTATATTAAGTGTTTTCAGACTAGGACCAAAGTACCCTATAGGCAGCAACTGAAAATGTTTATACTTAATAAGGTCAGTGGCTTAAGAGTTTCATTATTTTATGTTTACTGTGTTTTTTAGTAGTGCATTTAGATAATCATAATATAATCAAAGTGTGATTTGCTTAACATGGTTTACAAAATGAAGAATGGTGTCCATCGCATCATGTGTATTGCATTTGTTAAGATTAATAACACTTTTCATGCAGTAGGTGTGCAGAGTATATTTTGATGTAGCAGACCCAATGAACTAATTATATATATATAGCCAGTTTTTCCCAGTGCGCCCAGGAAATGTGTGAGAGAGTGAAAAGTGAGGTGAGCTTTCCATAAATTTTAAATTATATGTACAGCACTTTTTGGTCTGAATATCTTCTAAACCACTTATTAGTTGTTCAGTAATTTATCATAAAGATAGCAAAGATTAAGTTTTAGGTAATATTGAGTCATTCACTCTGGCTGTTCCTCTTAAGTACAAGTACCCGTACTTAAAAGGACTGAATGTTAAAGCAATTATTTCTATTTACAGAGAATTAGAATCTATATTCACCGGATTTAGTAGAGAAACCATCATTACTAGTGGTCAACAAAATGATTCTCCTTTTGCTGAAGAGAAGCTAAAAAGAGATCTTCATGAACTACAGAACTAAAGGTAATTGAAACCCAGTTAAACACAGATCAATAATTATATATTTTTTTAGTGTTCTAAATAATAGATAGATATAGATAGATATAGATATATACAATATATTCTTACTACATTTAGTATAGATATATATATATAATAATATATATATATATATATTATATAATATATATATATATATGATATTT